ATTAACATGTGTTATTCTCAGCAGTAAAGTATAACACTGAGCTGTTTGCTGTTTGCGTATCTCAGTAACTTTGCCTTTGAGTATTTGATGTGTGTTATCAACATGTTACATTATTCATGTATTGAACATTTTTCCGAAGCATTGATTTTCACGCATTAGTGGAATAGTCCAGTACGTGTTGATGGTTCACCTAAACTGACGTTCAAAAGAAAGTACACACCTGATTCTTTGGTAAAATATTTTCTTGAAAACAGCATTAATATTTAAAAAGTGTTTTGATTCTGCCTTGTCACAAACCTTGTACAAATGTTTCCAAAACACCACAGATATTGTACCCAATAACAACATTGCCAGCAAAATATTTATGGTTTTATTGGGAATAGTCCCAGAACACCAGGTGTATACTTTCTTATGCACGTCAGTATATATTGATGGCCATAATGGCCTTTTCACAAATTGTACACATCTGGACGTCAACCTGGTGGTTTTCCTTCTTTGTTGTTTAACGCCGCACCCAGCAATATTCCAGCTATATGGCGGCGATCTGGAACTACTAGAGTCTTTACAAAACAATCCAGTGATCAACATCATGAGCATCGACCTACGCAACTGGGCTACTGTGACATGTGTTAACCATGTCAGCGAGCCCAAACACCCGATCCCGTTAGTCGCCTCTTACTACATGCATGGGTAGCTGAAGACCAATTCTAACCCGGACCTTCATGGGTTTTATATTTTAACATTGTCTCGGACATTAACTCGAGTTTCGAAACAGTTGACATAGTAACACCAAATTTGGATGCTATATAAAATGGCATATTGGAGGATTTGGTCCTTTGCGTTATCCGGACAGGCACGTAAAGAGAATAAGCAATATTTTGAAAAATAACAAAGAGCCACTTGTTGCTATACTAACCGCCTTGGATACTAACCGCCTGTGAACGTGAGGGAATATTTGGTAGAGAAGCCATGGCAGGATGAAAACCGAATGATAAATTCAACTGAAAAACATTCATGAAACTTAATTTCACACTTGTGAAGAATAGCAAATTGACTGTAAGAGTCATATCCATAAATATACATATATCTGCCCCAAATGAGCTTTATGTGCGACCAATTAGTACTGAAGATGTAGACTCTTAGTAGACTCTTAGGTAGTCTCTAAGGTAGAAATTAATAGTTTAAATGATAAGTTCTAAAAATAAAATAAACAACAGACTGGGGTCCTTGTACTTCCGCTTATCTTGACTTGCCTCTTCGAGGGAGAGAATTACTATACATCCATGGACTCAGCATTCAGTACAGCCTTGGAGCAAGGCTACACGAATGATAATGGCTTGACTTATTTGTCCTGCACCTGCCGTAAGTGAAGTGGTGGGGTTATTGTGGAAACGGATCCTATCTCGTAACATTTGCTTATTCGGATTACCGACCACTGCACCTAAGTACCAGCACGTGCAGTATTAAGTGACAAATTAAATATTGACAAAGTATAATGTTCAAAGAGACAATAACTGATTGTTTACAGTTTGTTGTAGCTTATATTTTTTATGTTATTCATATTACATAAGTGACTGAGTATAAAGTAAATGAGCTAATTGTACCAGAGTAGTGTATCAACCGATGGAAAGCCAAAGTTGTCAAGGTCGAATACATTCAATATGTAGCTGATGATACCAAATCAATTGCAGTAAACAAGGCGATTCAGGAATTAGAAACGAGACGAGAGGTTCCTGGAGTTTGAAGACTTTGAAGAGATCATCACCCAATGTTCGTAGAATAACAAAGCTCATAAAGGCATATATTTTTGACGTTAAAATAGAATTGAAATACATATAAATCATATTTATATCTAGACAGCCTACATTAAATATCAAACGACACGAACAATGATTTGGTTCAAGCGGTTCAAGCGTGTTACCTTGAACCACCTAACACTGCGGTGTAGTTTGTTTGCCTCACCGGTTGTGGCTGTCAATGGTGACATAAGTGTTCACTATTTATATTTATATTTTCCATGGTATTCCGAGTTAGTTGAAATCCCACCAACCTTTATTTCTCTACGATGCAGTCGGGTGGTCAGGCTTAGTGGAGTGGTTGATTGGCAACGACGCTGTCCGCTTGTGTCTGTTACCAACAGGCCGTGATGACATACACTACCGGACAAAAGAACGTATACACCCATGTCTGATGGGACCCAGAACTGACACGTACAAGACACGGCTACTCGACTCTGATGTACATATGTATGTGATACGGGCATCACCCATGTGTTTGTGGCGTAAAGTATGTTGTGTGTCCTGTTTTCAGCCAAGTAATGCCTTGATAACTTGCGAATACTTTAATTTGCCCGGTAGTTTAGCTGGAGGTCAGGTGAATATAGAGTGGTACAGAAACAAGTAGCATATATATTTAATAAATAAATCAGTGGTGGGTGCTTGGAAACTTTGTCTCAGGTTATTGGTACGACAAGTCCGTCTCCGCTGGGTTGTAATGAGATGCTGTTGACACTGGAAGGTAAAGTTAAACGGACGCCCTTCGAGGAAACATATTGCACAGGCATTTCGCGGTCGTGTTTAACTCTTTTCATTTGTACAGTGTTTGTTTGTTGTCCAACGCCGCACTCAGCAATCTTCCACCTATATGCGGCGGTCTGTAAATAATCGAATATATCAGGCTGCATTTGTCTGAGCTGTTCACAAACGTTCCAAGCTTCACTTGATTCCAAGTAGACTAATGACTTAGTCTCTGAATATATATAATTTTGATTGTAACAAACAAGCCCATTTAAACTTAAACCTGAACCTGTGGAAATCTAGACTTGCTGTATTTAGGGCTTGGCAGTAGGGAAAATAATGTGGTTCGGAACTGTGAGACAGACTAGATTCCAAGCATCAATATTAGTATCTCCAAAACCACTGCTTACAGATTATACATTCCTGACAAATACTTATTGTTAGGACACACTGTTACGAATATTAACAGAAACTATGTGATATGACTACAAAACACGTAGCTACCATTATAAACAAAGCCCGGACTTACACATGATTGTTTCTAAAAATGTTGGGCAAGCCCTCAATACTATCTAAATATAAATCTTTGCAGCCTATCGGGCTTACACGAAACAAATCGGCGGGCTGCGCGCCTGACTACAACATGGTTCTATGTTCATATGTGATGTAGGTCGGTTTTGTGGGGAAAACTTAAGTGCTACTTCATGTTTTGTACAGAAAGTTTAATGTTTAATCAATAATCTAATTACAAAGTGTATTGTATTTGCGCCAATTGCTACATACGTTTTGTGTCCACAGATATATTATAATTGTCTCTCCACATGTCAGTTTCATTCACCGCTCTAAATTAGATCGTCATACCAGCAATAAGATAAGATAGCATTAGACTAGACTATATTATCACCAGGTCATTGTATATTGTACCACTATCAGTTGGTTAGCGCTAAAGTATTATACATGTAGTAGGAAACATATACTTCCTATCAAAAAATTTTAGACTCACTTAAAACACTCACTATATGTTGTGTATATAAAGAATACTAAACGATGTCCCGTGTAATACATTATATTATATATAATAAACCGGTATTATACGGGACGTAGTTTAGTATTTTATTTATTACTCACGCAACATTAGCAAAGTAAAATTGTAAAATTATTAAACAGTGATATCTTACTCACCCGTTGAAGATATCACTGTTTAATAATTTTACAATTGTGTAATAGCATCGCGTGATGCCGTACGTATGACGTCAAAGTGGTTTACAGTTATGACGTCACAATGCTAATACCTCTGTCACAATAATATTAGACCTTGCTTGACTCGAGGAAAGTTGAGAGTCATCACACTCGTTGAATTCTTATGAAAGAAGTACTTTGCTCGATATTATTTTGCTAATGTTGCGTGAGTAATAAATAAAATACTAAATGTCCCGTATAATACCGTATATTATATACTATAATGTATTACACGGGACATCGTTAAGTATTCTTTATATATATATATATAGTTACATCGAAGATTGATTTCTCCACTACCTTGCGGGAACCAAATGCAAACTTTATGCAGATGAAATGCGCGAGGATCACGCATCAAATTGCTGAAAAGCATGTACACATACCGTGCATGTGAACAGCTGCGTTTTGGTTTAACATTTTGTAAAGAATTCGCCAATTTTCACTGCTTTTTATCATTTATTGAACTCATGACAATATTTTTAATGTTACGAATTTGTTTTACAATACACCAGTTCATGTGTAAACAGTACCTTTAAACAGTATGGAATATTTGACAAAAGTTAGTTCAGAACAGTTGCATGAAGTAAGTGGCTATATTTACACTAGTGAGTTTAAACTTTTGATGGGAAGTATATAATTAACATTACAACATGTACAGAAATTATTATAACCACACACAACATGTAAAAATATTATCACAGAATAGTATGTATGTGTGTGTGCGTGCGTGCGTGCGTGCGTGCGTGCGTGCGTGCGTGCGTGCGTGCGTGTTTGTATGTATAAATGTATATTTCATACTCTTCATCACAGTAACACTAAACTTTTGGGGATAATGGCAGGGGAAGATTTGTATAAAGCGAACTGTTAAAACTAATCAAAGGTAACTTAATCAACAGATAATAGTTTTGAAGACAAATACTTGCTGGCATGACTGATTTCCGGGCCCTGTTTGTTTACAGCATCGACATGGGTAGTTGGCGTCCAGAAATGAGAAACTGATAATCTGAACTACTGCCATATGGTACTTGAGCCTTTCTGACAATTCGCGGCTCTGAAATATTGCCGATGTGTTGAAAATTGGTACTTGAATTTGCTTGCTCTATTCAAAATTTGATGTATTTTAGATATAGACAGTCTCCAATGCCAGTAACTGTAGTTTATATTAAAACTACATTGAATAAATGTTCTACAAAACAGAGAGAGCACGTTAGTTAAATGCTTGTGTAGTATACTCTACTTCTCACGTGCAGGTTACATAAGGGGCTAAAGTGAATGTTCTGTCTCCCTTCGTGGAATTTTGTAACAATATGTTCCAGTATCAAAGATATTGTGCAGTGTATTTAGGTGACTTCTGACACAGTTAACAAAGACTCTGTCGTTTCATATGTTCAGCTCTGTAAGATGTGCGTTCTATGAGGAAGACTACTTTGTTAAACGTCTTCTCTTCTACTTCTTCGTGATGACGATATATGCTATGATATTATCCCACTCAGAAGTGTAGATGTCCTGTTGCTTGATGTGTTCAACCAGTAGGCCATAGAATGAGTTGACCACGTCCCGCCTGGACTCGGACGATCTACTGGAGAGAGCCTGAGTGAACATGTATTCCGTCCAGGAGCGTATTGCAGAGACGAACTTAGGAATGGAACTGTCCAAATCTTCTTTGTTCCCTGGAACAGAAGGACAGGTTGAACAGACAATGAGAGGACAAACCACTTTTGGCAACGTCCAATAACGTCCCGTTTCAATTAAAAGTAGCATTAAATGAGCAGCATGTAGAACAACAAAAGTAAATGTGAAAGTATATAGAGATTCCAAGGATCTGTTCAAACATCGAGGAGTACATTCACTGTGAAGGAGTTAGCATGTGTTGTGGAAACCTACGACCGTGGGTTCGAATCCCGGTTAGCCTTGAAAATGTTTCTTGAGTTGTCTGCACCAAGCCGGTTTTTGCGGGTGAAAGCAGAGTCCAACTTTCGATACCTGCAATATTTAGCAGACACGCTTTGAAAAACCCACCCACTGAATCAGTTTGACACATGTTAGTGCTGCATTATATTACGGTATCCCTGGTTGGAGAGTGAGTTGTGTTTTACGCCGCTTTTAGCAATATTACAGGAATATCACGATGGGGGACACCAGAAATGGGCTTCACACAATGTACTCATGTGGGGAATCAAACCCGGGTCTTCAGCGTAGCGAGCAACGCTTTAACCACTAGGCTACCCCACCGCCCCGGTTGGACACTAAGTGCTCTTCTTTCCGCGAACACTTTCATTATCCCCACGGCGTGTATCAACATATTTATGACGAATGTTAATGTTAATGTTGTATAGTTTTCATATAAACTGGAAGTTTCATGCGAATTGACTCTCCAGCAGTGAATATTGGCACGAACGAATAGACATCAGTAACCAGGTGTAGCAACCAGACAAAATCAGAAAATTGCTCCTAACACTGAATAAATCGTTAGTGTTATCCCGAAGAGACGCAGAGTGCAGACGTTCACTAACGTTTCAAACGATGCTGCCTAATTCCCGATCAAATTTCTCGGATTCAATAAACAAAGACTGACAGCTACGGGACACACCTCAGCAAGGTGGTACCTTTTACCAAGTGGTTACCGTGTCGTGTAAAAGAATATATCACACCTGTTTCTTGCTTTCGCCTCTGTGGCATGATGTGTATGTGTTCATGTTGCATTAGTAGAGACTCGATACGCAGCCCTGCCTTCACAACCGGGGAATCTTTATCATGGAATGGAGCTCTTAGTTCCTCCTCACTTCTATAGTAGCCAGGGTAGTTTGCTGCCTCGTACTCACACTGAATGAAAGGAAATATATACAATGTATATCCAATGTCTTATTCTCAAGCATGACAACGTATCCATACGCATAGCTGGTTTGAAACCACATTTACTGAAAAATAACAATTTATGAACGTTTTTTGTTGTTGAAAGACAACCTCAGAACTATCGAGCTGCATGACGGTTGTGTGTAAATAATCGAGTGTGGACAAGGCAATCCCGTGATTGACAACATGAGCAACTATGCAACAGGGATACGACAACACACTAAGTCGATAAGCCTGAGCAGCATTAGCCGCCTAGCTCTAACGACAAGCATGGGTTGCTGAAGACCAGTTCTAACTGAGATTGTTTCACAGCTCAAAACGTACGAATGAAAGATGTATCCTTTCTTACGCCCACGAACGTCAGTTTTGTGATCATATGACAGCAGTCTCGTGCAATCACATTACTTACTATACTACTAAGATCAAGATTTAATGATATATATGAATCTTTGGCCATCATATAACAGACACAATGAGTTAGTTGTTCATAGGGGACCTGACGAGTCGCTGCACATCTTATCAATGAGCACAAGGATTGCATCAATGGAATCCCCTCTACCCACGCTCATACGCCACTTGACGAACGTCTTTATTGCCAGCCAAAGTGTTCTCAGAAGGGCATGAAATCAACACCAGACGTTTTTATAAGCTTCCAAACGACTTGCAGGTGGTGGACAGCGTTCTACATCAACTCAAAACGTCAGGATCCCAAGATTACAGCGAAACGTCATCACTTCGCTGCTGTCACCATATTCATGCATGAAATGTGGGAAGCCATGCGGTTCTAATCAGACAGCGTGTATTCGTCTCCGTGATGCTCAAGCTTAATGCATTCAGACCCCACTCATCCGACCTCTCTGGCAGGCACGATTCGATTGGGTGAAGATCATGTCAAATGATTGGATCAGGGCTGGTTTCCAGTTCTGTTCACTGCCTTGACTTCACAAATCATCGTGCACGAGTGTGGTGCAGTCTAGAAATATTTCATGATTCCAACGCAGCGACACATGTACGATATAGAAGGGTCTCAGTGGTTATTTGGGGATAGATTTTGCACTGGTGATGTGGGATTTGGGTTTGCACTGATAGGAATGATATTAATGCGAGCCCGTGATGTGGTGCTTTATCCTTATGAACCATAACGTAGGACCTAAAAGTGCCAGGAAGGTTGAATCTTACTTGGAGCAGGAGACCATTGACTCCAGACATCAACTCTAACAAACACATGAAACGAGCTGCCAATCACTCTCTCGCGACGCCAAGTCATTCAGGCAATGCTGCAGATACTCAGTAATGATGTCACTGAACAGAAATTTCTTGGCACTACCCAGACGCTTAATGGATGCATGACGTTTCATTTTGAACATTATTCTGATCATTGGTCACATGTTGTTTGTTGTCATTCTGATGCACGTGACGACAGACATATATTTGTTCATTCGTCTTCGTGCAATAATGTCTCTGACCTCTTCAACAGATGTGAGGATCCTTGACGTATTTTGTGGTGATCATTAGCCTACTTTCAGTGGTTAAAACTGTACGTACAATTTACTGTACGTACCTGTGTCACTTGATGCATGTCCCTTAACAATCTCCACACTGTCGTCATAGCTACCCACAGGTTTTGTAAATGAACACTGCTTTCTCCATACTTCCTTTCTGTATCTTCAGCAGGAACAATCAGCAGCATACATCCACCTAAGAGGAAACTTTACAGTATAATTTATGTCTATGCACCCCAAATGCGATTGTGTAGGTATAACGTTTCACAAAACAAATCTACACATTATTGTGTGACAAGAGATATCACGCCAACATTACGACAGTCAGTTTGCTTTGTGTCTAGTTCAGCTTTTGGTGCCTACATTCTCTCAACCTTTGGGTTACAATCGTGCCTGGACTTTCCAAGAAGTTCCCAAGGAACGTAAGAAGACTCATCCGCAAAAGCGGTTTGATAAACGTTACAACATTCATGGGCATAGTAAACCCTGTAATTTCATAACAACCATATCTTCATCATTATATCAGGTAGTAGGCCATATTGAAAGCTGGTGAAGTTTCGCTACGTGAGATCTCTTGAGTAAATTACCCACAAACACACACACACACACACACACACACACACACACACACACACACACTTATCATGTCCTCTACAAGGTAGACACGTGTGTCGGCTGTCCGTAAGTATTGATCTTTTTAAGGCAAAATAAATCACAGTTCTCCAGTCACATGCTGCCCTTTTACACAGAATAACGTGCCCGTAGAGGAGCATACATCTGCAGATCATAACATGCCGAATAACCACGTGGATGGTTTGGCCAACCGCAACCATCGGAATCGAGCAACAAACGTGAGTCGGAGGCGGAGAAGTCACACAAAACAACACAAACGTGCTCGAACGTACGCACGTGTAGCTTCCGACTCAGATTTCGATTCGTATTCCGAATCTTCCGCGTCAAGTGACGAATCCTCAGACAAAGGATCTTACGTGGAACCCTCTCAAAACCTCCTTCAAAACAGGTAGCATGTGATAATTACGACCCGTTTTCATTAGCCGATGCTAGAGACCCAGCTGAATGGTATCTTCCAGCTCATCTCTCCAAGCAGACATGTCACTGATCTCCCTGTCCATGTAGAGGACTGTCCACAGACACCTTCTCTTGATCCGTATCTAGATGATCTCGTTGAGGCAAAGGGAAAGTCATTTGAGACGAAATTTGATCACACCTTCAGTATATTCCGAAGTGGATTCTCAGTACCATGGGGCCCCTGTGTCACTCATGGCATAATGTTGATAAGATCCGCAGATTTAGATATTTTGAACTGCTACAGGTGGTAGAGAAAAGTAACTGTCTACTCGGTCAGGCCAACAACAGGAGGATAACATTCTGGCTAAACTTACTAAGGATAGCAAGAAGGATAAACGTTTTATTCTCAAGCATGACAAGTCTATGTCAGAGGCTATGGGCAAACTCTTTGGGAATGCCTGTTTTGACAATGTCATCATGCTAAAAGAGATCATACGTAAAACCAAAACCAAATTGATTTTTTGCGCTGGGAAACGTTCAAACACAAAGGGTCCAGTCACCTTGGTGTACGGCCCTTTCAAAGACTGCCCTCAGGAGGAAGGCAATCTTCTCGAGGCACATTACGTATCACATCCTCTTTCAACAGAGGCTCTAGGGGTTTCGAGGTAACTTATCCAGAGGTAGAGGCCGGAATCGTAGACCAGGTGGGTTAAATGTCAACAACGCCGGTTTCCACAATACTTAATGCTCTCCTTCCTTTTTGCTACATCTACAGGTTATCTCAGCTATTCCAAAGTTAACCTGGATCATTTGTTCCTCAAGGAATCCCTTAAAGGTGGTCGTCTGGGCAAAAGATCACTGCAGATCCATGGATAATTAAGACGTTCTCACTCACTCATACCATGAAAATAATCAGTACAAGACCATAAATACAGCAAGATCAGCTTTGTCTGCTTTTCACATCACTATCGAGGGCTATAATGTGCGTTAGCACCCGCTGGTCATGAAATTTATGTCAGAGTTTTAATCAGAATCCCCCTCAGCTCAGATAGGCCTGGGATGTAGATTTGGTGCTGCAACATTTTTAAAGCGTGAAAGAGAAGCTGACAATGATGCCAATCTCCGCTAGTAGGTCTTCGAAGTTGTCCCCTCTGGATACCAGACAGATGGTACACAGGAGCAAGGACGTAGAATTTACTCTGATGAAACTCACCAAGGTGACTAAGACAGGAACAAACCTCGTTCCCTGAGTTTCAGGGTCTATGAGAAGAACCCAGCACTCTATGTAGTTCTGTGCCTTACTTAGAACGCAAGTAAGTAGAGTAGATTTGGTCTTCTCTTATCAAGAGATATAAACCGGTTTCGTCACCTAGTATCTCAAGATGGGTTACAAAACTTATGAACGACGCGAATATTATTCTCCCAGCGGAGCTCGAACTTCGCTGGCATTTGCCATACGTGTTAAACTGGACCAAGGCCTCTACTTTCAGAACCTTTTATCTGAGAAATACAGTCAGCAGTGAAAACTGCTTGTCAAAGATCCTGGACACTAACAGGCTTTGAACTACCAATATCACATCTTCTATGTTTATGACATGAAATTGGAAATTGCACAAGCACACGTAGTGTGTAAAGTGAAATTATAGTTCCATTATTAACCATTGTAGATGTGAGATTCCCGACCTGTCTCCCACCCTGAATTCTAAAGACTGTTTTGCATTGCTACGAATTGTTGCATTGCAATTTGGTTTCATTCCATTAATTGAATCTATAGCAGTCTTAATGGATTTGAAAACACATTACAATTATGAACTGATCTAACTGATTCAAGTCATAATTGGTAATGCTATTTTTTCCCCTTACAGTTGAGTATCGTGTTGGTGGACGAGAGCGGAGCTGGCACAGGATGACTTTCGTTGTTTTCACTGGCGAATTGGATTTCCTATGGAAGGTTTTTGTTTGTCCTTCAAGAACTTTGGAGATCGGCCCTTATGAAGAAGTGTTTGTGGGTAATTTGCCTTATGAGAATTCGCCAGCTTGGACTACTTCTGAACATCATGATGAAGGTACCAATATCACATCTACAATGTTTACTTATGAAATTATATACATTACTGAATAGGGAAAGGGGTTTGTCGTATTTATTTATCGAAGATTGGATGCCAGCTATTTTCCCCTCGACATAAAATTTGTTTCTTCTGTGGATAGTCAAAGAAAGGGGATTCTGTTCCACTAAGGTTCAATATTTAGTTCCACTGGGTCGATGTCCCTGCCATTCACCTAAGCCCAATATTATGCTGAGTCAACTACTACAGAAATTAGAACTGACCCGTCGTGAATGTGTTGCTAAACAAGTCTTTTTCCCAATGGTTTGGTTACAATGGCAGGAGCACTTCTGTGCTGCGTCAGCCAAAAACTACTTCCATTTGTACGCAAATGTCGTGAATGCTAGCAGCAGGGCAGGGTATGCTTACCCATATCGGGAACACCTGGTCTCAATTCATAAAAAAGTGACAGCTATTTTTCCCTTTATACAAAGCGGAATTTGTTTCTGGGGATCCTCAAGACTGGGTATTCTTTTGCATTGTTCTATATTTCTATATTTACCACTTTTCATTTCATTTGCTCTGATGAGAAGAAATCTTTGCCATGCCTCAGACGCCAAAGCCGCAACAGCATCGCATTCAGCATGTGAACCGCCAGGAAACTTATTCAACGAATCTTTATAAGATACAGACCTGTAAGCAAAACACAGAATTACTATAAGTGATACTATTATATTATTTTTACATTGTACAAATGGCCAGACATATGCGTGTATACAATACATGTACCCTTACTAGGACTGAACAATATTCGATTTCGGGTCACCGCTACCATACTTATTAAAAGAGTTGAAAATTGGTAGCAAATGAAATTGAATACATTTTCATGATCGGTACCTACGTCTTAGAAATTCCAAAATTTATGGTAGAATGAAGCTTCACTCACCTTGACAGAAAGTTGGCAGACCAAAAACAGAAGAGGATGTTGAAGGTGTCACCAGGAACACACTGCTCATAGAAGCTGGTGGGGCACACGGAGACGAATACCTTTTGGTTTCGTGACTCTCTCTCAATACCTTTGACACATAGAGACATGGGTCATAAAACACCTTACATGATCTATAAATGGTCTGGGTAAGTGATCCTTATCGTCTGTCTTTTATAATCCATAGTATGAATGGAGCTGTACTTTTAATACACAAGAATCGATCTGTAAAACAAGGAATGAATAAGTGGTGAGACACAGATAAACAGTTTCGTGTGCCTGTGGAAACGAAATATCTGGGATCATAGAAATATATAATATTTCAATCAAAGCCGTTTGACCAGCATTTTAACAGCCAAACAATTTAAATGTGTGTAATTTACTTTTAAATGTATCACATTGCAGGGGAGGAATAAGTTCAGCCTAACGCCATATTTGTAAAAATGCAAATTGTTATATTTTCGATTCTAAAATAGCCCATTAGTGGAGGTAATGATGAGGGAAAAAGACACCTACTACAAACATTCTTAACCAAGGCATCGAAGTCGTTATTGGGCGTGTCTTCGTAGATTATGTGAACAGGGATGTCCTCGCTATGGTAATCCCTAAGGGCGCCTGCAAGGACAGATATACAAAAAAACAATATGGAACGTATTATTTCAGCATGAGTAGAACGTTTGTTTTCATGAATCGGTTTGGGGTTTTCTTGCCATAACGACATTGACAAATTGTTGGTTCAGACTGGTCAAAATAAGGTGTTCATTTTACACACTGAATCCTCCATTAAAATAAATCTTTTTTATATATAATCCGTGCATATGTAAACGTCGCTGTATCGACAGCCTACGCATCGTATACAACAATAACCCATCAGAAATTTTTTTGTGTACGTTCGATATCAAGAACAACAGTTTGTCAAATATGAGTAAATGCATTTCCGAATATACACAATTAAGTAAAACAGACTCGACCCACTGTGTCACGGTCTCAAAAATTTCTTTCATATCGTCAGCTAAAGTCGGTCGTAATTCCGCCAAAGAGTGAATCCGTCGTCAGAAGGTCGTTTCCACCAATACATCGTGAGGTTGAACAAAACTACACATCGGGATTGTTGGGGTTTACGGTTACTTAATTATTTCCCATATAGATAAATTTGTTCAGCATTTTATTCACGTTTTAACAACGTGGCATCCCTAATATGGAAGATGTCATGATTAACAAGAAATGACGTGTCGCTGTAATTTCCAAGTCCGTCCGTTGATGAGGAAGGACAAAATCACATTTCAGAACACATCATCTCAAGGCAGTAAATAACAGGCGTCAGGTTAACCCATTGAATGATATTTGCCTCGTCAAGTACAACATAGGTACAAAATGTGAAGAGCATTTCAGGTGTACCAAGCTGTTAGAAAATAGCTCTAAGCGACCTGAAGTTATAGTCAGGTGACGTAGATGTATTTACCTAGTAGATATTCCACAATGTCCTTGGATGAAGATCCGTCATGACATCCATAGTCACCAACTGTAAAAGTCTCGCTTCTCGGAATGACTGAAGTGCCTTTAATTATTGACAAGAAAAAAAGGTCGTGGTACATTTAGTCGGCCATACAATTAATATGTACAAGATACACACCATTGTATGTAATGCTATACAGGACATCTCAACCTTAGGAAACATGCTAAATATGCCAAATCTTTGATATCGCGAGAACGCGAAATGAGGCCAAAATATTGCGTTGTCACGGTTGTTATATTTTTTGTATATAGCACTTTGTGTTGAAAGTCGAGAATGCAGTATCGCAATCTCGACTTGTCAAACCAGGCCACCAAAGGCCTAAATCGCGAGAGCCTGAGAATGCAACACTTCATTTTCTCGCTTTCTCGCGTTTAGACGTTGTCCGTGTGCATGTGTAATATGATGACATATACATTGCTGATCATGTTGACTTACTTGGAATTTACACTTATCTGCAATTGCTTCAAGGTTTACAGTAACTCATTTACACTCTTTCTCCAATACGGTATACACGTGAATATCCGTGTCTTCAGCAACCCATGCTAACGGAAACGGGTGGTCAGGCTCGCTGACAAAATTTAATGTCATGTATCCTAACTGCGTAGATCTGTTATCATGCTGTTGAACACTGGATTCGATTATTAAAAGACTGCCGCCATATAGTTGCAATATTGCTGAGTGCGGCATAAACCAACAGAAATACCCCAAACAAATTAATACGGAGAGAAGCATTTACTAATTTCCACAATAACTCAAGCCTTCAGGTTAATTAATCACCATGTGGACAATTTTGGCAGCCAGCCCGGGCAATGTTCAGCACATGGTCGTGCAGCCATGAGGCAAGGACGCTTTCCGGAGACCACACATGGTCTGTCATAGCAGATTTCGGGATGGGTCATGGGATTTCATCTTGACAGACAAATTAGGACTTGGTCATCACGATCATTAGATTTAATCGGTCTTCTAGATCTTGGACCATCCTTCACTCACAAGCCGACCAATAAGCATGTGGTTATTGTTCAAGTTAGCACCGCTGTTGCGACAGGACACCCATGGAGCATGCATGTAAATATATGCATTTCTTGAAAGTCTGCGTCTACCCATGTCAAGACAAAACATCATTTTTAGAACTGCGGCTTTCAAATCAGTCTGGAAAACTGTACTGCACAAACTGTGATTGCGAAATCTACACCCGAACTTGTTTGGTGCCTTTGGTAGCACGTGGACATGCGACACTCAGTGTTTTAGATGTTCTGTGATTCCAATATGTTAGGGTATGAACGCCTGTTTCAACCAACATTTTAGACATTGCGCTAAGATTTAGGGGATGGTTAATTGTATATTTTGCACATGACCTACGTATAATCAGGTATGGTAGTGACAATAACACATGTACTAATACCTATTATCTGACGCACTGTGTCATAAAAGTAATGGGATTGAGTCCTGACGATGGTGCCAACAGATCTTGAATACTGGTCTTTGAAGACGCCCGGGCATGTGCAGTCCATCGTGCTGTAATGATGAAAACTGTTTATCTTGTATATGCTTCTCTGAATGTAACTGAAACAAAAAGCAAAAGTTGATGTCTTCTGACATGAGGTTAATGTCATACTTTGACTTACGGTTTCCTGTTCCACAAGCACAATTGTTCAAACAATAGACTAATTGTATAATTACTTCTTTCACACGGTATTGCAGACCGAGAGGTTAATGAGATCTTTAGTTTGTGCATCACGATTGCTTGTTTCTTTCACCGTAGAGGGTTCGTTAGCCTTCTTTAAACGTATTCGATTTCTAAAAAACGCCCTCTTCAGATTCCACTCTATAAGATATTGGATCTAACTGTTTGACCAAGGTGACTTATCTCCACTCATTCTGTCCTAATACGTACGGGTTCAGACGTACAGTGTCTCCAAAATTCAATAGAGGCTAGTCCTTGGCACTTCTGTTGTGAAAGAACTACTGACATTTCACCTGTTCACATATATCTTGTATTGAGGTCCTCGTTACTTCTAGGAAGAAGTAGGTTGTGGGTCATTGGCAAAATGGATCATATCATACTTTTCTTGAGCAGACTTTGCATCTTGTCATGATAGACTTCGCTGTTTTGACACAAGCTTCTGATTTTCCATTAGCGTCGAGGTGCCTTGGCGACAACACTCAATGTACCATTTTTTCTGTTAAAGCTCGCAGTTTGCTTGGGATTCCATATCTCGATGCTATAAATGCTGCTTCAAAACTTTGATAACAGCACGTAAAGTAGTAGTATTCAGATGATCAGCTTCCAAGAATACACTAGAGTAATCCATGGTAAGTACATGTTCTCCTTCATCTCAGGTGAACAGATCATCTCCAACATTTTCCCCAGAGCAATAGCTTCAGTAGGTACAATTGTCTCTTCTTGTACACCATGACTGACTTTCTTTGACAAACACGGACAACATTTCTCAAATTGTTCATCTGTTCACATTTCTTGCAGGATTTCCCCAAACTGGGCACATTTTTTTGAGAATGTAGTGTTCACGTCCACAAAATGTACAAGTTAGGGAGAGAGAGAGTTCTACCCTGAACCGGGTCACCCCAGATATGCTTCTCTTTCCATTTTCAATATTTTGTAAAGGGCGGTGGGTAGCCTAGTGGTTAAAGCGTTCGCTCGTCACGCCGAAGAGTTCGATTTCCCATATGGGTACAATATGTGAAGCCCATTTCTGGTGTCCCCGGTGTGATATTGCTGATATTGCGTAAAGCTCACTCACTCATATTTTCACAATACGATGGCAGACCATGTGTTTATGAATCACTATGACATAGTGATGACACCAGGTATTCGCGGAAAGGTGAGCGTATTCTGCCCCACCGATCGCACCCGTCATTAAACATACGTCTTCAACTGATCACCTGAAATAATTCGGGAACGTATGGTATAAGTCAAAATAGGGAAATGCATCGGACATCATTTTTGTCACTGATGCATCAAATTTTGAGATTTACTCCACATGTCTACCATAAAACTTCTTGAAAGCTTCGAGCAAGAATGGTAAACACACGGGCAAAAGAAACGTCACCAAAATTATGTTTCATTTTTTAACGAACCTTTGTATTTTTTCAATAAAAAACGGATTGAAACAACTTGCCCGAACGCAAACAACATACACTACGCATTGAATTGCACGAG